TATTGTGTCTTAATTATAGAAGCCCCAAACGGCACATTCTTTTTTGCCGTGGTGTGGCCGCCATTTTTGTGATTGCAGAGTTCGGTAAGTACGTTTTTTGCAATTTTCAGTATGTTTATGTTTTGTATATTTGGATATTGTGCTTGGTTGTCTGATTCATGCATTTGCTTACAAACGTTTTGTTTTCGATTCATTCAGAGGGATTTTTCTGCTGTTTTGTGTACTTTCTTATTGCTTAGTTAATTTAGTTTGCATTGTTTATCAGCCTTCATCTGTTATCGTTTCACTAAATTACGCCTGAAACGGCAAAATTCCTGAATCATCTTGACTTTTTCTTAATGTAAAAAATTGATCCCAATTTTTTCAAATCAAATCTTCAAAACCATCGAGTCGCATTTCAGAATTTGTTAAATTGCAAGCTTGCCTTACTTCGTCCGTCATAAGGGATACACGTCAACATTGTCCAAATTGAACATGAACTCTATAAGCTCATCTGGAACTCCTAATCATATCCAAATTCCTGCCATGAACAAAAGTCTTGTCTAGAACGGAGAATGCAGTTACCGTCATAAAACACCCTTGCAGTTAATTCGAAAACTTCTTTTACAATCTTCCAGTTCAGTAGTTCAAAAAATCTTCCCATTGTAAACATCAAGCCAATAGTTAATATTTCTAAGGTTAAGTCTTTCAAAGAGTAAGAGATTCTAAATATAATTTTACTTCTCACAAACCTGTAAACCCTCGATTCCAAAGATTTTGGATCCTATCGAAAAGCTTTCAAGTTCAGTAGTTTCAGATTCCAGAAGAAATGATTAGGCATCTTATCGTCATATGTGAAATTCAATAATAACCTTTGAAACCAAATCTAACTGCGAGTGATGCGTGAAGAGCTACATTCGCGAATTCATTCAACCGGATATTATCATTTCAAGGCCGACAAGGTGCAGATAGTCGTCATGGATAAGAACACTTACATCGATGGTGTCACTAAACTCTTAAACGAAGGACATATAATCCGATCCTAAAGATCCTTCACCTTCGGACTTGTCCAAAAAACTGCGGATCAAATCTCGCAAATCATTTCAAGCAAAACAATTCGCTTATCACATCTGTTGCGAATTGTGCCAATTATATGCTCTTCCCAAAATTCATAAAAGTGGTATTCCTTCCGCCTATTGTATCAATTTAGGTACTGCCTCGTATCCATTAGCTAATATTTAGTTTCTAGATTTTCCACTCTATTGACAATAACATTACACCATAAAAATTCAATAGAGTTTGTAAAAGGTTAAAAACATTTCTCCTAGTAATTTACTCATGGTTTCTTTTGAGTAAAATCATTATTCACCAATGTCCCAGTGGAAGGTGCATTAAGATGTCTAGAAACCAGCCTTCGCGAATTTCATTTCTCTTGCATCGAAACTGATAGCTGTTTCTCTCACTCAACCTGTTTGAAACAACACATTTGTTTTCCAAATAAATATACAGCAAACTGAGGGATTAGCCATGGAAGCCCCCTCAGTCCCATCCGGCTGATATCTACATGCATTTATGAAACAAAATGTTTGAAAACTTTAAACTTCCCGGCATGGTTTCCTACATAGACGATACTTTTACTCTGTTGAAGGTAATAAAGATTATTTAATAAAGTTTCTTCAACAATAAATCCTATTGATCCTGCTATTCAGTTCACTTTTGAACTTGAGACTTGTAATTCTCTTCCGTTTCTCGACATTCTAGTCACACGTAACACATCCACTTCATCTACGGTTCGTACACCTTCATCGGTTTGCCGCCACCACTTTAATCATGTCATCCGACTAAACAAAGTTAGCTTCATTTTATTCCTATGTTTTCCGGGCTCTTCAAGTTTGCTCCTCCAACTAGCCCTTGATAAGAAACTATATAATTTAAAGCAATAGCTATTGACAGGGCTTACACCCAACATTATTAATCCGCAGTTAAAAATTCTCATCTCAACACACTAAAGGCCACTCTTATTAGGAGATTTAAAAATTCTGTTGTCATTCCCTTCTTTCCATCAATTAGCTATAAAGTTGCACATATTGCAGAAATTTAACTTTTGGGTTGTTTATTCTCCCATCAATAAATTCCGACTTTCGCGCACTCAAAGCCCCATTCCGATAGAATTCTGGGTTTTATAGATTCCTTGCCAGTGTGGTTTAATTTACATGCCAAACTAAGAGAGCCTTAAAATTTCGTGTCAAGAACATGAGCATATTTAGAAAAAAGGAAACCGAAGTCTTCTGTTGCTGAACATTGTTGGTCCGAAAATCACCTTCAATTTTTCTGCTGCCAAAATTATTCAAAAACATCTTCCATTGGAGAACTGGATTTTCTAGAGGCATTTCACATCATAAAAATCTTTCTTACTAGTTAACGATCCTAATTCCAATCCATTTGCCTTCGGCTTTAAAGAAATTATGCTTTAGTTCTGGTTTCACAACAGATGGCGCCACTTGCTTATTCTTGTCCAGCTTTCTTATCTTATCTAAGCCTTATTCCTATCTTGTTCATTTGCGGTTTTTGCAGCTGAGGATGGTGGTTCGGTAAAGCCATCGAAACTGTCCTGTGAAAATTTTGTAATATAACGATGTTTTTGTTGTTTGACTTCTGAATTAGTATTTTTGGCGTGTTATTGTGTCTAATTAATTCACCTTTGTTTTATTGTCAGCTTCAATTTCGTTCTCGCCTCAAATAAATTTTTTGGGCTTAATTCGTGTAGTCTTTCAAATCATCTACATTAGTTTTCTTTTCAAATGTCTCCCCGATTTCTTGGTGTTATTTCTTTCTGCACACGATAAATTTACTTTCGGCACAGTATTTGCTTTTCAACCGTTTCTTTTGCAGCATCCAGCAGCGATTTCTCATGTCATCTTCATAATCACTGCCAAAAATGTTCGCTGCAAATTCTTGCGTTTTTCACATTAAAGAATCCTGTCTTCGACATTTATGTATCCATTCTTTCGTCAAAGCAAATTGTCCTTTGGGAAAGCATGAAATACAGTACTCTTCCTTTCGTATTTCTGTAAGTGTTACGGTTACGTTGCTACAGCACAAGAAACATATTCTAAGGATACTTTAATATAGAATTTAAAAGGAAAACTGAAACTATTACAGTGTGTCACAAAGTGCGGGACCTTTGTGTTACAAAAGGAAACTGTAGTAAAATAATTAAAATCCTGTAAAAATTTTTTTGGTTGTGTTTCATATTAAATTAATAACAATTATTTACAAAACATACTTTTTCAAATATGAAAATTTATTTATAAAATACAATTGGTTTATAACGGAGCAAAAAATGGCTCACATAAGGATGGACACTTACTTTTCCATCAAATATTTATCCAAAAATGTACTTTTAAAAGTTTAGTATTTGTTGGATTTCCTTTTACTTTTAAAACATGTTTAATCTTCTTGGTAGGATTCGACTAATTTTTTATGCTTTCTGGAGCGATTTACACCATCTTCTTGAAGCACCCGATTTTAATTGTGCTTTGAGAAATGGTTTTTTGCAAATTCTGATTCCAATTCTTGCCAATATTCTATGGGATTTAAGTCTGGAGTGTGGTGTTTTATTATTTCAGGATAGTTATACGCAGCCAGAGTGTAACGTTCAAAGCAGTGTGCTTGCGGTCATTGTCCTGGTAGAATTAAAATCGTTATGAAGGTTCGATTTCGTGATGAAGATTCAAATTTTGATTTAAATTTCAATACACTTGTACTGATCCATTATATTGTCAATAAAAAGATTACCATCCAGCTGACGACACACCTCCATACCATAACTCCTCCTCCTCCACCGGTGTTTTAATGTTGCACCAGGTTCTCTTGCGAAATTCTTCCCTTGGTTTTCTCTACACCAAGATTCTACCGTCGAACCAAATATATTAAATTACTCTCATCAGGAATATAACTTCATTCCATCATCAGAATTCTTATTTATGTTGATTTTGCGAAAGCCAGTCTGAGTTTTCTATCTTTTCATTACGAAGAATTTTTTTCCTGGCTCTACATATTCCAGCAATCGAATTACTCTTCTAATAGTCTGAGGTTACAATTACTCCATATAAGCTTGTAAATCAGCAGCAACTTTGGAGCATTCATTCTTGAATTTTTTTTTTTTAATATTTCGAACGATATTCGCTTTATTCCATTGGATAGCTTTGATGTCTGTCAGGTCTTCTTTTATTCTGAATCATATGATTCTTTTATATCGTTTAATGATATTGAAAACTGTTGATGACTCAAATTACTGTTCAGCAGTTTTTCTCTAATATTTTTCCACTTTCAGTATGCAAATTAATAACTAATTTTCAAATTTCAGGCAAGTTTCTTTTCGTTTAGCGTCAATGCTGCACAGAGCTAAACACAAAATTCCAAAACAAACTGGAGAGAAATACTGCAGACGATTTTATAAATTATTGCCAATCCAATTGCTTTTGAGTAAAAATTAAAACCCAAAAATATTTTTTTGCTTACTTCAGTCGATTGTTGTTGCATAGTACGAGTAGTATCTAATGGTGCTCTATCTTTATATGAGCCATTTTTGCTCCGTTCTAAACACTGTATTTTTATTAAATTAATATTTTAATATTTGAGAAAATGTATGATATGTATAATTGTTACTAAATTTAAGTATGAACACACCCACAAAAAATTTTTACATGTTTTTTTTTTACTTATTTTATTACAGTTTCCTTTTGTAAAGCACAAGTGTCCCATCACTTTTGTGAGACACTGTATATATATATATATATATATACATAAATTATTATAAATATTTGCATTATTAGAAAACAAATATGTATGATTAAAATTAATTTGGGATATGCGATCTTCAAAAAATCGTCTCGCAACTGAATGAAACTACAATCTTAAACGCGCGAAATCAGAGCAGGTGCAACACAGACATGTCAGATTACTTCCAGTTAACCCCCTCCATGAGGCTCGCGCAAGGGCTCGTGTCGGCCAGGAGTCGAACAAAGGAATGACCTAGCCCTTCTATTTATCCCTCAGTCTGAGGTACCTACCATAATAAGCTGTTTCTCTCTCATTTGGCGTTAAGGCTGTTTTTCGAACAAAATCCGAATGTTCTTTGTGAATAACATCTCAAGTAAGATAGCTTTATCACTTTTAAAATATAAGTTTACTCCCTTACGCAAGATAATTTTCCCTTTCGCAAGATAAAATTTTAAATGCAATTTGAAAACCTACATTAATATCAGCTTATTTATTTGAACTTTGAAATTTATTTTCCCAACAATTTCAGGAAACAAGATTAATAGCTGTTAATGGCTAATGAAACGTCAACACAGGATTAGTCACCTGATTCAAATCAACCAATGAATTGCAGCTGAAATGTATTGTTGATTACTTCAAACTATGGCAACGTGATTGTTGTTGTATTCCTCTACTGTAGTTATATTTTCAGTATTTATATATATTTATTTTATCTATGCTTTGAATATTTCATAAAAGTCTGTATATAGAATTTGGGTTTAAAATTTTATGCAGAATAATTCTCGTATAATTTCATTTTAATTGTCTAATTTTGTATTTATTGTGGAGGTGTGTGATACTTGTAAATTGTTAACGTGTCTGTGAAAGCTTCTAAATTTTTAAAGGTTAAAGTTTTTAGTATTTTAACAAGTCTGGAAACTTCTGATTATGGTCAAAGTAACAGTTATAGGAGGAGGAAGTCTTGGTGTTAAAATTGTTGGTAAGTTAGAATGTTTATGTATTTACATATTGATTTAATAATGTTCTTTCTTCACCTTGCTTTTAAAACCTTCGATATTCCGTTTTAAATTGACTTGATCGTGTAACCATTTGTCCACCTACAAAATTGTTGAATTTTTTTTTGTTTGGCGCATGTACTAATTCGTTTTGGACAGATGTGCTTTTCATTCGCAAAATAGTGTGCTTTTGCCTGCTGCAGGCATTTTTCTGTCAGTTTTTTTACTAGCTAAAATTATTCCACTCCCCCCCTTTTTTAATATTAAAATAACATTTAAATCCCAAGTTCTCTACGGAGGTACCACCGCAAAATATAAGTTTGTAAAGTATTAGGGACAAATGTTTTTTTTTTTTTTTTTTTTTTTACTGCCTTGTACGAAGTAAAGAAAATATTGTAATCGCGAAAAATTTTGCGTATTGTATTTCAACAAAAATGCCATTTTGACTGCTCTTGAATCCATCTAAACGATGTTTCTTCACAAAACGGATTGAAAAATAGATTTAAAATGGATTCAGAAAAGATTATTTTTGTGACATCTGTACATAACATAACTATGTATCTCACGTAACTCAAAAACAACAAGTAGCCTCAGAACGTTGAAATTTTGTATATGGGACTGTTATAACGTAGTTCTGCGCATCCCTTTTTGATTGCAGTCGGCTGCACGAAAAGTATGTATTACTTTGCCACTTTTGCGCAAGTATTAGGCAGTTTATTACAATTTATATATTTACTTCAGTCTTTGATATCTCTCTCTCTCTATATATATACATAATCACTATATATATGTATATAAGAGTGGGTGTGTATATATTAATGTATATACACACATATGTTATATATATACATGTCGACTCTGTTACTCGGCTCAGTGAGATCAGTTTTTAGCCCACTAGGGCAGTTAATTTCATTTTGCGTATAACATTAAAAGTCTTAATCACTTTTCAAATTGTTGCCACCAAATATGATTGCCCTGTATTATAAATTGGCTCTAGTGTAGAATTGGGTGCCCCTTCGATTAGTGATACATTTTTTTAAATTTTGGCAATGAAACCTCATTTCTGGTTACCATGATAGTTTTAACTTTGTTTTAGCTTTCTGATTTTTTAAAAATGAAAATAGATTGATGTGTACATGGACAAATATAAGGCAGTGCGCAATGCCTAGTTTGTGCAATTCTGGGATATTTTTTAAAGTGAAAACAGATCGATGTGTACATGGACACAGAGTTTATGCAATTCTTTGACTTTTTATTTTGGTTTTGTGTAGTGGCCATCTTGAAGTTGTGACTTCCTGGCGCCGATCTTGGCGTCTAAAAAAGAATCGCCAAAAACAAGGGGCACCCAATTGTAAACTTTTACCAAGAAATTAAATGATGAAGAATATGCATAATGTATATGCATGTTTCTCGCATCGTTTTAAAACAGCGGAACCTAGAGCCATGAAACTTTGAATAACGTACTTTGCCCGATTATGGAAATTTGGAATTTGTTTTATTATCTATTTCATATTTTGTAAAGCATTTATGAGTTTTTGATTAAGAAACTCAACGATTTCAATGTGAGTAGTGGCAACACTGCAAGGGGGAAAAAAAAAATATAGTCAGCAAGCGAGATTGTGTATTGGAAATTCTAAAGATATGCTCTTTTAAAGTTATTGGTTAATCTTTGGATTATGGTAACATGGCGAAAATTTGGCGACCAACTCTGCTACAGCAACCCTCTATTTTTTTTACCCTCCATTTTGTCTTCACGAAAGTAAGAATGTTTTTTTCTTTTTATTTACTGAACACTTTTTCCAACAATCTGCTATCCAAATTACACTTATGCTAGAAATTTTATGGAACAAAACTGCTTAATCATGACAAATATTAACTGCCAAATTGCGAAAAAAGTGCAGAATCGCAAACTCCTTGCAGTGTTTTTCAGAATCGCATATACCAGTGCACCACAACCTTTTCTCACCTGCGACACACAAAAAATCTTTCTGGAATTTCGTGGCACACCAAAGAGTTCCGAGTTATCAAGGAAGTGCCGAAAAAATTCAAATGCTGACACACTTAAATCACACACACAACCACACAACAGTGAAATATATAAAAACATTTAAAATAGACATTATTAAGGAAAACAAATTGTCGTTGTGTATTAAATACATGATAAAAAATTGCAAACTGTCAAATACATGTATTTGATTGCAGCACACCTATATCCTACTCATGGCACACCGGTGTCGGAGCACTGGCATATACACATAAACCATGTACACATCGACTTATTTTTACTTTAAAAAAATCCAAGAATAGCACAAAAATGGCATTGCACACACTCTTAACTTTATCCATCTACTCTGCTATTTTCTCATAAATTACAAAAATTTGCACGGAAATGCAGGAAAATGTTGCGAATCTTTAAACTCGGTAAAAAGCACATATATGAAATACCTGATCGCGAAAAAGTATATACCCTTTCCAAGGATGAACATTTCCACGTGTAAAATAAATAAAAATATCCAAAAACTTTTACCTCTAAATTATCTATTATATTATAACATCACCAACGATTTATACCGCAAAACATTAAAATGGTTACAAATACTTAGTGTCAAATATTTAATTATTTCCATGCACGTTTACTTCAACTGAAATGTTATACCAAATTGCTACAACATAAAATTCACAAAATAACTTCATTAATTAAATATAACTAAACCATGTACACGTCGCTTATTTTTACTTAAAAAAAATCCCAGAATTGCACAAAAATGGCATGCGCACACTCTTCACTATATCCATGTACGCTGCTTTTTTCTCATGAATTAGAAAAATTTCACGAAAATGCATGAAAATTTTTGAATCTTAACTCCGGTAAAAAGAACAATATGAAATTATCTGATCGCGAAAAAGTATATACCGTTTCCAAGGATGAACATTTGCACGTATAAAATAAATAAATATCCAAAAACTTTTCCTCTAAATTATCTATATAAATGTTGCCAACAAATCATAACGCAAACATTAAAATGGTTGCAAACTTAGTGTCAATACTTAAATTATTCCGTGCACGTTTTACTTCCACTGAAACGCATCCAAATTCCTACAACGTATAATCATACATAACTATCCATTAAAATAAATTAATTAAAACAGTACTAAAATATAAATAAGCACATACATTAAATTAATAAAATTAGCTTACAATCCTAATTACTGTAAACTAAAATCATTGCTTACAATTTCCAATAATACCATATTACTTTATTTACTCCTTAATTTAGAACAATGCATAAAAATAATATCCTCAAATAATTAAACGTACTAACTTGCATAATCTTCTTCAGAATCTTGATTACGTGGCGGATAAACTTTTATTATTTCCTCCGCTAAATAAAAAGCAATCATATGTGTGCCTGTTTCAGGATCTTTAAGATCATACTTATGGTTCACAGCAAGATGTTGAAAACCTTCATCCTCCAAACAGACATGACTTCCACCAATCAGATATTATTGTACCAGGTAGAATATACTGCTTAATAAAACTTAATAAGCAATCTTTACTTCAGTTGATCTTTGGATTATGGTAGCTTGGCGATTTTTTGGCGAAAATTTGGTGACCAACTCTGCTACCGCAACCCTCATTTTTTTTTTTCCGCTGCCATTTTGTCTTCACGAAGTAAAGACATGTTTCTTTTCTTTTTATTTACTCAACACTTTTTCCAACGATCTACTAGCCGAATTACACTTATGCTAGAAATTTTATCTAACAAAACTGCTTAATCATGACCAAATATTCCTGCAAAATTGGGAAAAGTGCACAATAGCAAACTCCTTGTGCGTTTTTCAGAATAACACATACACATAAAGCACACACTTCGACTTATTTTTACTTAAAAAAACATCCCAGAATTGCACAAAAATGGCATTGCGCACGCTCTTCACTATATCCATGTACACTGCTTTTTCTCATAAATTAGAAATTTCACGAAATACATGACAATTTTCTGAATCTTTAACCCGGTAAAAAGAACATATAGGAAATTACCTGATCGCGAAAAAGTATATACCTTTCCAAATATGAACATTTCCACGTATAAAATAAATAAATATCCCAAAACTTTTACCTCTAATTATATATTATATTATAAACGTCACAATGAATTCATACCGCAACATTACAAATACTTAGTGCCAAATATTTAAATTATTTCCAATGCACGTTTGCTTCAACTTAAACGTATACCAAATTCCTACAAACATAAAATTCACAAATAACTATATTTAATTAAAATTAATTAAATTCAAAAAACATACTTAAATATAAATAAGCACATACATTAAATTTATAAAAATTAGTTACAATCCTACTTTAAACTAAATCATTGCTGATAACAATTTTCCAATAATACCAAATACTTTACTTCCACCTTACATTTAGAACAATGTATAAAAATAATATCCTCAAATAATAAAAATACTGACGTACTTATCTTCTTCAGAATCTGCTTACATGGTGGATACACTTTTATTATTGATCAATAAAATAATGATGATTTTTTCTGCGATTTTTTTCCACACTTCCTCTGCTAAAGAAAAGCAAAATTCTCTTTATCACAATGTTGTTCCATGTTCCACTTTAGCCGCGATTAGCACGTAAGATTACATGCTGTATTTATCACAATGCCTCTGAATGGCGCTTTTATAGCACTCCACGTGCCCTCTATGTATGGTATGGCACCTGTTTCGGATCTTTAAATAATATTAGACAGCGCCATACAATCCGAAAATTATTCAACACTACTTCACACAACACACAATGAAGCTTAATACAAAATAATATACTGCCACAGATATTTTTCCAAATTCCTCCCCTTTTCCGATTAAAGAACTGTAATTCGTCCATTAATATCACATGACATATCTCATGATCTCTCATTTCCCTCACACAAAATAATGTGTAATCGGAACTGAGTACTGCTCACATTAT